CAGGCCGGAGCCCCAGCCCGGACCGGGAAGCACCGGAGGGGGAGCCGCGGGCCTGGCGCCTGGGCCCCGGGAGCCCGCGGGCCTCTTTCGGGCCCCATGGGGTCTCGGGGGCATTTGGAAGTGTTAGCTTTTTTAAAAAACATCTATTTATGCACACAAGAACTGGGGTACGGCCGGAGATGCGAGGGGGGAGGGGGTGACAGCGGGGAGCAGAACAGGCGATCTACTGAAACCCACCGCTGAGGGGGCAGCGGGAAGAGAGGAGGGGTCTGCTGCGCCCTGGGGCCCCTCCCTGGCCCGGGGTGGACACAGGCTGCAGCAGCTGCGATTCCTTCTGCTGCCTTTTCGCCCGCTGCACCCCCAGGCCCTGGAAGCGTCTGGAAATGCCTAGGGCCAGGGAAAGCCAGCAGGCCGGGCAGGCACGGGAGGCGGAGAAGCAAACCCCAGCCTGCGCACTTTCCGTGCTTTAACCAAGGCTTTGAGGGGGCCATTTGCACAAAGAGGCCATTGCAGGACGGCCAGAGGAATCCCGAGGGCTGAGGCCCGCAGCCCCAACACGGGCCTGCCAGTGCGGCTCTGGGCACGCTTTCCCTTACTGACCTCCCTGCAGGATTCTGGGCCGATGGGGGAGAGGAGGAGGGAGGCCGGAGAGGGCAGCAGGGCGCGCTCTTGTCCCTCCAGACCCTGCAGCGCCCACGGCTGCACTGTCTGAGGTTGTGACCAAAAACATTTCCCTGCACTCCCAGTCCCACTGTCTGAAGCAAGCAGGGTGCGCGGAGGTCGCCAGACACGGGGCTAACACTGAAAACAGGGGCGCAGTTTGCTGAGGCTGCAGGCAGCGCTGCTCTGGGGCACTGCCCGTGCTGGCCGCCGGAGGCCTCCTCAGCGGGAGGCGCCGCAGGCGCTCGGGCTCTCTCCAGCTCCCGGGAAGCCGCCTGTCGCTGGGAGGGTTCTGGTGCTGGGAGAGGACACTGCTCACCGCTGTTCGTGTGGACGTGGGGTAGCTCTTGCTAGAGGCTGGAGACCACAGGGCCTCAGCGGTGCCTGAGCCTTCGTTGTGTCCCGTGCCCACGGGTGAGGTATTTTTTAGAGGCCCTGTGTCGTGCAGGCAAGTTGGCTTTCTGATGCCCACAGAAAGCCCGACTCCACGCGCCAGCCGCTTTTCTTCAAGTGCCACACAGCTTTCACCCAGATGGATGCCAAGACGACCCATCGAATGGCAGGCCGCCAGGGGTCCTGTGGCGGACCCATTCTCAGCCAGACACTGCTCGGTGCCCCCCGACAAGCCAGGAGGCGTGAGGTCCTTCGCAGGGGCCAGTCCGAGTCTCTGAACCAACAAGGCAAAGCTGAGCCGCCCACGGGCACGCTGCCCCCCGGCCCGCAGCGCAGGAGTGGCTTCCGGGTAACACCGGACACAAGCCGGGGGGAGGCATGAAGGAGAAACCAGAGTCCACGTGGCATCGCAGCCTGGACGGGGCACGCGTGACACACAGCTGTTTGTGGAACCCCCACACGACCCACAGCTGCGGCACACGCCCACCAGCAGGGCCGCCGACCCGCCCACCCACGCCCCCACATCCTACACCGCAGGGAGGCTGGGCCTACGGCGACCCGCTGACGGCCAGCAGTTCGCCAGGGAGCTGCCCGTGGGGGTCAGCATCCGGGCCGGCGCCAGCCCCGCCTCCCGCGCTCTCCGGGTGGGAGCGAACACCGTGTCCCGGCCAGGACAGTGAAGGACGGCACCGGGGCTGCTCGGGGCCGCGTCCAGCTCCCAGAGCGGGGCCTGGCTCTCGGACAAGCGCTGGACGCGCCCGCGAGTGAGGAAAGGCCCGTCCTCGGCGGCGGCCCCCTCCCGCCCCCATGCTACCAAGCCGGCGGCAGGCCCTGGTGTTCTTCCTCAGCCGCCCGGGCCCCTTTTGCTGTCCTGGGCCCCACACTCGCCTCACCCAGCCCGGCCCCTTCTCCGGTAGCCGATCTAAGCCCCCTCCGTGGCCCTGGAGGGTGACCCCCGGTGAGTGTCTAACGGCCAGGCCTCTCCCCTCCCTCTGCCGCCACTGCTCGGGAGCGGGGCCCTCACCGCCCCCTCTCTCAGGGTTTCCCCACGTCGCTCCTGCTTCGCCTACGGCAAGTGTGCGTGGCGGCCGTGACCGAGGGGTCGCGACACCAAACGCACTGGCCGCCGCTCGGCACCGGTCACCGGCTTCCAGGCGCCACCTTGCAGGCGGGTGCGGGCGCTGAGCCTGCCAGGCTGTCGGGGCGCGCCCCCTGGTGGCGGGCAGCTGGGCGGCTCAGGCTGCCTGCCGTGGCCCTCGGCATCCAGCAGAGGCTTGAGGGGCTTGAGGGGCATTCGCGGGCCCCTACTGGGGAAAGACTGACGCTTTTAGAAGGCAGGAAGGTAAAAGCAGACGGAAGGAACAGCAGTCGGACACAACGCAAGCTGCGCCCTTCCTGGTCTGGGGAGGCCAGCGCGGCTCCGTCTCCACCCCGGGACCCCTGTCAGCATTTAGGAGGGGGCGCCTGGACGCAGACAAGACCGGGCCAGTAAAGGACCATCTGCTTGCTCCAAGGGTGGCATCTGGCAGAGGAGCCGCCCGCAGGGGCGCTGGGAAGTGCCCAGCACTGCCCGCACCGGCCCGGCCCGGCCTCTGGCTGCCCCGGCCTGCACTTACCTCACGACCCAGAACCGCCTCCACAACCCCTATTTGTACTGCTGTTAGCTGAATTTAGGGACCGGTTAAGACAAGCAGGTGACTCAAGGGGAGGAAACGGCCACTCGGCCCCGAAGTCTGCACCCCAGGACGCTCTAGGAGCCTTCCAGCGACGAGAAGCGCCGTCTGAATGTACCTGATGGATCACGAGCCGCCCGCCAGCGTCTGCAGGTCACACCGTGGGCCCAGCCACATCAGCGTGGGAGCGGCCGCTCAGGGGTCACATGGAGGGACGGAGGGCGACCGTGGCCCCTGCTGAGGGTTTCCTTCTGTGACGGAAGCCAGGCGACACCTTGCCCACCATGTCCGTGAGCAAAGCGCCGACTGCCATCCCTCTGGTAATACACCCCACAGAACACCCCAGCCTCTGGCTGTGGAGAAAAGGTGCTGGGCCGTGGGCCGTGCTGACCTGGGCTGCACGAACCGTGACAGGCAGGGGCAGCGGCGAGAGCCGCCTCGAGTTCAGCCTCACACGCCAGCCCAAGACTCCGCCGGCGCCCAGCGGGCTGTGCAGAGCCACGGGCACTCCGAGGGTCACGGCCCCGCCTCAGAGGGTCACGGCCTGGGTCTTCCTGGCCGCCCGTGTCAGGCCAGCCTTCGGCGTCTCTGCCTCACCCTTAGCTTCTTGACAAACTACCCCTAGCGAGCAGCAAGCAGCATTGGCCAAGGCCTCTCCAGGCTCAGAGAAGACAGAGGAGGAGAAGGCGTGACAGTGAGCTCTCAGGGTGAGCCCGGCCGCCGCACGCGCCCCGAATCCTGCCCAGAAAGTCCAGTGGGTGCGGCGGCCAGCTGAGCAGGCCAGGGCTTGGCGGGGCTTCGCCTCACATCTCCCTCCCGTCGCAGGCAGACGGAAGCCACGAAGGACAAACAACCTACAAGGGCCGGAGCGAGCGCTCGGCGTGGCTGGGAACGGACAGCTCGGCTGAGCGGCGCGTTCTGGTCTGACGCCGGCCGGCGAGACCCGTGGCCCGCCCCGGGGAGCCCCAGCTGCCCAGAGGCGGCAGACGCGAGACGGGGCCTGGCCCTGTGCACGTCTGAGGAAGCAGCAGCGCAGACCTTGGGAGCTTTCACAGGAATGTCGCCGGCGGCGGGCAGGGACTGGAGCCACGCAGAGGGCGAGGGCCGGACCAGGGACTCAGCGACCACACCGCGACCACGTGGCGCCGGGGCAGGCGTCACCTTAGCGACGTCTAGGCCTTAGCCAGAATCCCTGCCCCCCGCGAGGCCGAGACGGGGGTGCCCAGGGATTCTCAGAGGAAGGAAACTGCAAGGCTATAAAACGGACTCACATTTTATTAAATAACGTCAGGGGTTCCTTGGCACCTTCCACTCAGATTCCCGCTTTCACGCGGACACCAGCCCCGCTCATCTGCAGCCAGAGCGAGGGAAGGGGCCCGTGACCAGCCGCCCGCCCAGCGTGGGGAGCCGGTGGCTGCCCGGCCCGGCCCTCTGGACACGTCCTTCCACAGCGCGGCGCGCAGGGTCACCTGGAGGAGCTGCGCTCCTTGCTCACGCAGTCGTCCTGTGAGGTGGAGTCGCCGTTGCCCACCATGCCGCACGTGCGCCTCTTCTTCCTGCGGTGCGCCGTGCCGTCCCCTTCGGACCCAGACTCGCACTGACAGGAGGAAACACAGCGTTGGCCCCGGCACCCTGCGCCACCACAGGCCCTCCGGGCTGGCGCCTCGGGCCCCCGACAGGTTAGCGCCCGCTGCGCGACACCCTCGGGGCACAGCAGCCGGTCTCGGGAGCGCGGACCGCGCTAACTCCACGCCCCCGCGAAGCCCAACGGGGGCGACGTGACGTTTCAGACGGGAGCGTCGTCTGTGGAGAGCACGAGGCCCTCAGCCAGCGTCATTTCAGCGAGTCGCCGACATTGTAGCTGAGTTCCAGGACAACGCGGAAGCCGGGCCGAAGCCGACGCTGCTGTCTGCTACCCGAGACCGCTTCCGCGATGAGACCCCCACTCCCTTTCCCGAGAGCACCCCGAGATGCAGACAGCAGGCACAGGTGGGCACAGCCCCCAGAAGCAGAGGCGGGGGGAGGAGGCCGAAGCTCCTCCGTCTTCCCATGGGTGACGCGGCCTAGCGAGCGCGCGGGCCTCACCTCAGAGTCCGAGTCGGAGGAGCTGGAGCTGGAGGAGCTGGAGGAGTCGCTGGAGCTGTCCGAGGCGATCCCCGTGGACTCCTGAAGGTCCACGGAGTCGGCCAGGACCGCCAACTCGGGGTGCTCTTGCTTCAAGATCCTGAGAGACAAGAGAGGTGGCTCGCAGCGCCGGGCAGGCCGGTACCCATGCACATCCCCGACGCCATGCCGACATCTGCCTCAGAGAAGCGCCGGGAACGCGGCGCCTCATTCGGGTCCCGGTGCTGGGCGAGCCGCCCGGGCTCCTCCACAGGGGGAACAAGCGCCCCGCAGGCACAGGTGAGGCCCCGCGAGGCGAGTGCGAGTGCGACCAGCGACCGGCCTGGCCTCGGCTCGGTCTCCTCCCTGAGAGAGGCGCCGGCTTCCTGGCTTTGCCCTGAGCCTCCCAGCTGGCTATTTCTAGCCTTTTCTTTCCACAGCGCAGCACTTAGCGAGCAGCGTCAGGCTTGCTGCAGTCCCAGTGGGAAGTGGGGGAGCAGGGGCTTGCACGGAACGGGGGTCGTGTCGCGGAGGACTCCCTCACTCAGAAACTAAACCTGAAGTGGGCTTTCAGGGCCCCTGAGGAACCTGGGCTGGCATCCTGCGTAGCCAGGGACAAAAGACCTGCCGTGGCGGGGCCTCCGCAGCCACCAAACGCAGCAGGCAGCGGCCGAGGGACGGCGAGGGGCCTCAGGCGCCCCCAGAGTCCGGGGGACGCAGCCACCACCCTGCTGGCCCTCTCAGCAGGGAGGCTGAGCACTGGACAAGCCGGAGTCCCTCTCTTACCCCGAGAGCTGGTCCCTCCAGGTCAGGGTTGGGCTACAGTGGCACGGGGTGGCTGGGGGTGGCGCGCACGGCCGCTGCCCGTGCGGTCTCTGTTCTGTGGATAAACAGAGGCGCTAAGTCTCCAGGGCGGTGGCTCACGCCCAAGAACTGAAGGCATTACGTCCCAAAGGGAAAAACGCTTCGGGCAAGAAAAAGAAACCACCGATACAAAATCCACATCTAACGCCTCTTTGGCTGGTGTGAGCTCTGGGGAAACGCAAAAAACAAAAGACGAACGCAAACGAGAAACGACCCACCGCCGCCGCGTGGGGGCTGACGCCGGGCACGGCATCTGGCCGACATGCAGACTCTGGCCTGGCACCTGGGGGCTGCGGGCGCCCCAGACCTAGCCCTGACCGCGGGCCCTCTCCCGCGCCCCGAGGCCCGCAGCCCCAGTTCTGCCCGGAGCCGTCCGAAGCCAGCGCACACAGGGGCTTTCCGTTTGCTCTGGGGGCAAAGTCGAACAAAGCAAGTAGAAAGAAAAAGAAAGTCTCTCACCTATACCATTTCCTCGATAACTTTGGTCTCCCTCTTACTGTCTTGTGCCACACCACAGGGAAGTTGGTGCTGCTGGCAAAATTTTGGGTGATGGCAATGGTGGTGTCAAGGTTGAGGACGACATGCCACCAGCCTCCTGCAACCCAACGGACAGACAGGTTAGGCCTACAGTGGCTAAGCACCGAAGCCCGGGGGGGGGGCTGCCGGGCCACGACGGAAGCCTGGAGACGCAGAGCCCAGAGAGGGAGATGGTCCTCGGACCCAGGGGTCACCCACGACCCGCGTTACCCCAGCAGGGCCGGGCCCGTCCGCAGCTGTGTCCCGCCCCCGACAGAGACCAGCCGGCCTGCGGCGGGGCAGCGCTGACTCGTACGTAAAGTGCGGCAGAGCGGTAAAGGCAGCGAGTTCCTTGGCTTCGAGGAGGAGGGCACCCTCTTGAAACACCCCCCTTGTGCCACGTGGCCCAGCGACACGGAGCGAGTGGGGTCTGCCTCTGGGCTGCGCGTCGCCTTCCCGACTCCCCATATCAAAGCCGCTCGCAGAGAGCCTGAGCCACCCCCGGACCCCGGAGCCGCCCCAGCACGCAGGGCTCCGAGGTCGCTCTCGGGGCCGCTTCGCACACAGGCCACTGGGACCGTGGCCAGGAGCTCCCTAAGCAGCTGCCGGCTCAGCGACGCGCGTCGCCACCAGGCGGGCCCCGGGGGTCAGCGTGTGGAGGGGCCTCTGTGACTACGCACGGCTCTGCTCAGGGACACACCGCTGAAGCCCAGAATGCACTGCCTTCCCTCCTCTATACCTGGCACAAACACAGTCTCTCCTGGCTTTTGTAAGATTTCCAGGGGCTTGAATTCTGGCGGCCAGGTTGGAAGCTGTGTCCGCGGGTGAATGATGTTAAACCACGTAATGGCTTCGTCTTGCTGGTTCCCTCCTTCTTCACGCGTCACCTTGATGAGCTCCCTGGGCGTGTGGGTTGGGAACAGGCACCAGCGCTTGTGGCCCTGAACTAAGGCATTCCACGCGCTGGTTCCCAGAGGATCAATGTGAATGCCGGTTCCAGAGCGCGGCGGCCCCATCACAAACCACCTAAGGACGGAGACATCCGAGATGTGAAGGACAATTTACCCACCCCTCACAGACGCGTACGCTTCCGTTTCGTACGACACCCAGCGCTACTGTTATCCCGGTCGCCGCAGGGTTCCTGGTCCGCAGAAACGTGGAACCACACTGATCACGCACAGCCGGCCAGCGGCGAGAGGCCGCACAGCGGCCACTGCTGGGCTTCCTGCACGCCTCTCCCAGGCCAGCAGCTCAGCTTTGGTCACACTGTTTGAATGGCCCAGGGAGCATTCGGAACTCTGGACACCCAGACGGCACCCCAGGCCAGTGGACGCTGCCTGGCAGCGGGACCCCGCGGCATCAGTGGTCCCCCCAGGGCGCGTTCCAAGTACAGTCAGGGCAAATCCCTCTGACTTGTTAGCTGTTCTGGAAAGCGGTTAGCTGGCTCCGGACACACAGCGTTGCAGAGCAGACTGGAGCGGCTTCCCTGCCCGGCACTTTACCTGTAAGGGGGCCTGCGCTTCTCCCCAGCATACTGGAAGAGGTCGTCGGTGAAAAACTTGGGCACCTTGTAGTCTTCCAGAAGTTTCCTTCTTTTGGGGTGTTCACCGTAACTGCTGTCAAAGATGTAAAGGGGGCTGTCATCTCGAGTGCTCTCCATGTACTCGATGTAGTACTTCATCTTCATCTTCACCGAGTAGCCGTCATTATCCTCACCACACTTGAACTTCTGGTTCCGGTATTTCCTCTTCAGGCGCTCCAGAGTCCATTTCTCCTGCGCAGACCAGCCCTCCTGGGCATTCAGTAGGACCACGGGCTTGTAAGGTCTTTCGTATCTCTCCACAAATTCTTCCACGGAGAGCTGTAATGCATCCGCCCTTTCCACGTTATCCTGGAGGGATCAGAAGAGAGGAATCCGGTTTAAAACAAGCCAGCAAAAAGCCAGGAGGCAGACCAGGTGTTCCCTGGGGGTGGGGAGAAGGATGGGCACGCGGGCGGGCACGTTGCACCCGGTGCCACGCCGCTGGGGGCCAGGGGCTCTGCAGGTCCCACACGTGGCCCGTGACAGCCCGGCCCGGGCCCGATGGCGATGGCGCCACGGATGCCAGGCCTTCCTGCCGAGGGCGCGCGGGCAGGAGCCTGGGCTGTTCGGACAGGCGGCGGCGCTCCGAGGACGGGGGCCCGCCCCGATCCCGGGCCCCGAGGCCCCCC